AGCGAGAAATTCATAGGGTGAGCAATGGCAATGTAAATGAGGTAGGTTAGACAAAACACAATAAAAAACATTTGTTGAGCATACATAGCACAGTACTGGGTTCTGGGATACCAACCCAGACTAGGCTGTGGGTCTTGCCCACTAAGAGCTCACAGTCTATGACTGTCTTATCTGATTACAGCCCTCTGCTAAGGAAAGCCACATCAGGCTAGTCTTCTGAGAGTTGCTATGGTTTTTGCCCTGAGTGCAGATATCAAGTGAAACTAACCCTGCTACCCTAGCTGAAATGACTCGACCAGAGCCAAAGACACCCATGTCAATATAAGAGGGGCCTCCAGCATCACAGGTAACACGGTGTGAAGCACTGCCCATATAAGTGAGCCAAGCAGAGCTCTGTGTGCTAGAATAAACATGATACACGAAGCAAAAGTGGATCACTTGAGATGCTTTTATATTCTACACGACTATGAGTCATGGTTACAGGTCTTCATGATCTGCTGAACATTACAGTTTCAGAAGCAGTGTGACACAGAGTGATTTGGTAGTTACTGAGTATGTTCTGGAATCCCTCATTACCGCAGATAGTCTTATATAAACCCCTATCACCTAGAGCAATCTGGGTATGTCTTATCTTTTTTAACTACGATAAACTGAAGGACAGGCAGGAGGCCCTCTCTCTCTGAATGAGACTCATGGATGAAGACAGATGAGTTAAAGGCTTAGTTCTACTAAAAGGAAAGGTCACTCAGGAAGACACCTTCATCATAATACAGTATTAGTAAGTTCACACTGCAGAAAGAGATGTTTTCTATTTGTTTTGGGACTAAGATGAAGAAATAAATTTGGAAGCTGGTTTTTGCTATTGAAAGAACTGGCTTTGTTATTGGACCTTTTCAGGTCAATCTGTGGGCATGTCAATAATAAACATATGAAATAACATGACATGTGAAAAAATTTATCTTACTTCCATGGTTTAACTTTTCTTTAAAATTATAGAAAGTTACATGTATTCTAGGTCATCTCTGAAAAAGTTTAAACTTTGTTTTTAAGAATGTATCCTTTGTGTCCTTATCCTTTAATTTTAAAGCTTTGTTTTAACTTAAAGGCATAGGGAAATCTCAATGGGGACAAGACTAATACTTCGTATGTAGACCAGAAGTGATTTTGAAAATGTGGAAATTGTGACTGTCAAGACTGTAAAGGGTCTGAGATTTCACCCTATGTACAAGCTAACAAGTTAGGCTGCCACAGTCTCGTGGATGTTGGCAGAAGATACGAGACTCCTGGCTCAGAAACAAAGCAATTGTAGCACTCAGAGCATCAGTGTTTGCACTTATTGCTTAAGCCCCAGTTCCCATAGGGTGACATTAAGAAGGTCACGTGATGCCTGCACACTCAGTGGGTTGCATTACAAGAGAGAAACTTTGAGCTATGGGTACCTGGATCTTCTATAACTGGCAGTAAGCCTGCCTGATGTTTGCCACTGAGGGATTCATTATCTTTATTGTTATATACAGGAAACAAAACTGTCCTTCACTTCAGAGGGAGACACCATTTTTGTCTTCCAAGACTGTTTGCTATACAAATATCTTTGAAAAGATTGTCTGGAACAAAAGGAATCAGCACCTCTCCTCACATGATGTATGGAAACATGAGAAACCCACAGAGCATGGTCCCCCAACAGTGATCCACTGATGGAATCATGAAATCAATTTAGAAGTTTTGAAAACATAAAAGAATATTTCATATAGCAATAATAAGCATTGTTTAGTGAAGCTTTCGTGTTTGTATGTACATGGAAGATGTATTTACTTGCCTTTTCTCATTGACAAAAAGTTTGAGAAACACTGGTTACATTCTGGGTGACATAATTTGAGTTGCGTTATATACAAATCTATATAATAGCAATATGTAGTCTCCTGTAATATAAATTATAAACCTGATTCTATAGACCATATATTCTAATCTTGATTGATGAACATATTCCAATCAGCATCTGTTTGAACTTTTATGATTTCTTTACCTCAATCAGTTATAGTTTTCCCTCCAACACCTAATTTGATGACAATTTTTGTTTTCAGTGACTCACCTTTATCAAATCTTTTCAAAGCATTCAGCTTAGTATTCATATTTTCCTAGTATTTTCACATTTTCATAGTATTCATATTTTATATTAAATACATAATATTTAATTTGATATGTATTTTTAATAATAACCACAATGGCAAAATAGGGTTGGAAATAAATAAAACTGACACTTGAGAAGCATATAAAGTTTAACTAGTGGGAATGCAAGGGAGCAGGTGCCCTGAGAGCATTAACTTATGAGGTATGAGAACACAGATGGTCTGGGCATCAATAAATGTGTTTTATAAAAGGGGTGGAGAGCATGGGTCTGGCAAGCCAGTGAAATGGAAGTTGGTTAGAGAAGTTTCTACTGTATGTCAATTCTTGTTGCTATCAGTATTCATACAGAAAAAAATATCAGGCAGTCCTCATCTTCTTCAACACCTAGGGAAAAGGTAATTTTTGAAAGAGCAGTTTGCCTCAAATTCACAATACTATTTTATATTTAGTTTCATATAATTTCATTCTTTTGAAGCTTCTAACAATTTGGTACTGAAAAAGCAAGTTTCTTGCAATCAAATTCCTATGAAGATTTTCCTAAGACACAACATCCTTGTCCCACATGCATTTAGTTAAATGATTTCCTCTTGTCAAAAAATTTATGGTATCCATATCTATTACCACTTCATTCTTTCAATCATTACCTGAGGACTACAGCACCTCCTGAAGTTATGATCTTTAAACTCACTCTCACGTTTTTCACTTGTGTGGACATTTCTTCCTGCAATTTGTATATCCCATTCCAGCAGTATAAATGCTCTAGAGTTTTTAGTATTTTGTTTTTAGTATATTTTAGCGGCCTCACTGACCTTTGTATGGTGCCACAGTGAACATGGTCTTCTATTCTTTTCCAATATCCTTGGAATACAATTTTCATAAACTTCAGCCAGACTTACCAGTGATACTTCTAATATTTCACCCCATGATTACTACCCAACTCATATTTTTTTGTTCATTTCACAGTGCAGCTTGAGGTGGTTTCATTGAACTTACCTTCCTATTTCAACTCTGATCTTTATCTTTATACCTCCCTGGGTTGAGTTACTATAATTAATCTGGGACTTACACTTGCAGATTTCTGTTGAAAGCAGCTTTGCTTAATTGGGAAGTTGCTTCCAAAAACTGACAAAAAATACACAGTGTCAGTTCCTTAAGATCTGGTGCTGTCAACACCCAGGGACTGTGCTTCCATTGATCTGTATTTGTACTTGATTTTGTGCTGTGATTGTTTTTAAGCTAGTTACAAGTTACAGGCAGAGAAACCAAACGATCAATAGCCCTTGTTTATTGTATTTGTGTAACCATATGCAAATTCCAGAAATGCCCTCAACTCTAAGGAAGCTGTAGAGGTCAGGCTGTCTCTTTATGACTTGCTAAGCAATGCAGGCTCACAATCCATTCTGTATACTTAGCTTTATTTAGGATAGTTAAGATTAAAGCCCACTTGGTAGTGCAAAAAGCTATGGCTGCTAACCAAAAGGTCAGCTGTTGGAATCCACCAGCTACTCCTTGGAAACCCTATGGGGCAGTTCTACTCTGTCCTATACGGTTGCTATGAGTTGGAATCAACTAGACGGCAATAGGTTTGGTTTTTTGGTTTTTGGTAAAACCAGTCAATGGCTTTGGCTTATGAACATTAATATAAGCTTCATTTTAAGTTGCTTTTATATGAATAGTCTAACTTTTAAAATGATACCACACATCTTAATATTTACTTTTAAGATTGAAGATAAACATTAATACTTGTTATGATACTTAATAAAATTTAGTATATATGTATTCACTATTATTGTTAAGACCAGTGGCATAGTGGAAAGTAGTTATTTCAGTTCAATGACTCTGCATAGTATATTTGGAGAGCCTGTATTGACTCAGGGGAGAAAGATGTAACAGTCTGCTTCTGTAAAGATTTACAGCCTTAGAAACCCTATGGGGGCAGTTCTACTCTGTCTTGTAGGGTCGCCATGAGTCAGAAAAAACTCGATGGCAATGGGTTACGGGTATTGACTCAAGGATTGAATTTTCTACATAGGCCGACCATCCTGGAACAACCTGTATATCAAGCGGACTCTCTCAGGCAATTCCTCCCCACCCCACCCCACTCTTTAGGAGGAGGAGGTTAGAGGTAAGGCATCCTTGGAAGTGAAAGAAGCCAGGTGTGTTTTCTTTCATTATGCTTGGAGAATGGTTTATTCTGACAGGTAGAGGTAAAGGGAAAAAATCTATATGTACTTACAAATATATACGCGTAAGTGTTTAGATCAAGACTGGAGATGCCAACAAAATAAGGAATCAAGTAAAATATCTCCTCACTACCCATCTCCCGCCCTGCCTCGAAAGAACTGCGCAGAGAGGCGATTTAATAGCCTCTGTCTACACACCGCGCCGGCAAAAAGAGCTCACAAATCTCTCCTTTAAATCTGCTTAATTTTTTCCTCCGTCCTTCAATAATCAGAGAGTAAGTGATGAGACTACACTGTCAACTGGGGCTTTATATCAGCCACACATTGTCGTTCAAAGGGAGATCTAATTTGAGTAGCTACAAGACACTCAGTATCCTTTCCTGCATGGAAAGCAGCTACGCCACGTCCGGCAGTAATTCGAAAACCCAAAACCTCCACCCAGATGAAAGCAACCGGCGTGGTCCAGTGCCTCCGGGAAAAGGCTGCTGGCTGCGGTCGGAACGGGGCCACCCTGCGGCCATGACCACGCCCCTAGGGGGAGGGGCATTCCTCGCCCCGCCCCGCGGCCTTGGCCACGCCCCGCGCGTAACCCGGATACACACCCACGCTCCCCTTTCACCTCGCGGCCGTTGGCTAACTTGGAGGTCCGACCCTGTGGCTGGCGGAGGGGTTGGGGCCACGCTGCCCGCGGAAGTCGGTCGGTCGGAGTGGCGGCGGGGGCTTTGCGGCGGGGCTCAGTCTTTTCCCTGGACGGAGCCATGGGGCGCTTGGGCACCGGGGAGCGGTCGCCGGTGTAGTCCGCGCGGCGCCTGGCTGAGGAGGCCTGTGAGGGCGGCCGCCCGAGCGCCGGCTCTGGCGCTATGGCCCCCATGGGCATCCGCCTGTCCCCTCTCGGGGTGGCCGTGTTCTGCCTGCTGGGGCTCGGCGTGCTTTACCACCTCTACTCGGGCTTCCTGGCCGGCCGCTTCAGCCTCTTCGGCCTGGGCGGCGAGCCGGGCAGCGGCGCGGCGAGGCCGGCGCCCGCGGCCGATGGGGGCACGGTGGATCTGCGCGAGCTGCTGGCCGTGTCTGTGTTGGCCGCCGCCCGTGGCGGCGAGGAGGTGAGGCGCGTCCGCGAGAGCAATGCCCTCCACGAGAAATCCAAAGGGAAGACGCGGGAGGGAGCCGACGAGAAGATGACCAGCGGCGACGTCCTGTCCAACCGCAAGATGTTCTACCTGCTCAAGACCGCCTTCCCCAGCGTGCAGGTGGGTGCGGGCGCGGCGAGCCTGCGGACGTGGCTCCGCGCTAGGCTCCCCGGCAGCTCCGAGACGTGAGTCATCTGGTTCCCATATTGCAGACGAGGAAATTGAGGCACCGAAGTTAAGGTCGATCATACAGGCAGTAGAAAAGCTAGGTGAGGTTGTGGGGTCAGGAACCCTGGATTCTAGTGTGGGCTTACATACCAAAGGGCTGAGAGGATCAGCTTTACCTCACATCTCAGCCTCTTCTGTAAAATGGAGAGGTTGGAGTAGGAACCCCAAGGCCCCTTCTGCTCTAGCCTTCCATGATTTCATTACTGGAAAGGTAGTGACTGTAGAGTACACGTTTTTTGGCAGGCTTGCCAGTAGTGAACTAAAGGCCAAAAACTGTACAAGTGTTGCTGCGGAGCTGTAAATGTGCAGGGCATTTGGGGGCATGCTCGTTAATTACTTTAAGTGTATTCTTATCTGGACCGTTTTAATGGGACCTTTTATGGGAGCATTGGAAGTGTACATCCCAGCACCTTCTATCCCAACCTGGCACTTGATTAAAGATCCATATTTACTCCAGAGAATAAGAGTTAAAGAACACTTGTCTTTTCTTTGAGTAGGTTTCTGGGAAAGCAGTTGACATTTTCATAGGGAAATTTAGACATTTTAGATTTGTTATTACTACTTTTTTGAATTTATCATTTCAATGAAGCTGCCTTTGAATTGAATATGCTTTTATTTATTACAATTCCAGAGGAAGAGCTCAACACTCTGTAGCAATAGCTTATTAGTGTTATATCTTAAGTCCCCTAACAGTAGTTTGGCTAGTGGGAAGAAAAATTGTTTCCAGTAGAATTTTATTGATTAGATAAACAGAGAAATCTAAACCCAGGCTTCATTGGAAGGTATTTAACCTTTTACTCTTGTTCTTGGAAGAGTTAGTATTGTCATTTTAGAATTACATATTCTGCGTAACACTCTCTCCAGTCTAATATATTATTGCTCTGATTTTCTTCCTTTTTTTTTTTTTTTTTAAAGCAGGAAGGAACATTGGCTGGCTGCTCAATAACAGATGTAATCAACATTAGAATTTTTTTCAAGTATCTATTCAAACAAAACGCAGAACATTTCCAGTTTTTCTTTTGCTGTACTCTGCTTTATCACCACAAAATAATACTCATCTTGTGTTTTCATCTAGTACGTAAAATGTGCTTGTGAAATATCATTTTCTGTTTTATACCACACACATGTATTTCTCTGTGACTTTGTGGAAGAAACAGGAGTTTTAGAAAAGTTAAGGTCTAAATAGTTAAAACAGTACTAAAAAAAAAAAAAATGCCCTCAAGTCAATTCTGACACATAGAGACCCTGTAGGACAGAGTAGAACTGCCTCATAGCGTATCCAAGGCTATAATCTTTACAGAAGCAGACTACCACATCTTTCTTCCACGGAGCAGCTGGTGGATTGAACTGCCAACCTTTCTGTTCACAGCTGAGCACTTAACATTGCACCACCAGGGATCCTCAAGAGTACTAGTAATAACCATTTATTGAGTGTATACTGGGTGCCCAGATAGTGGCCACACAACTTCATTTGATCCTCATAGTAACTTTAGTTAAGTAAATTTATTTATGCCCACTTTACAGATGGGAAGTCTGAGACTGATGGCACTTCATGCCATATTTTATATGAACTGTCTAACTTGATTTTTAGCTAGATCTTTAGGAGGCTACTTAAAACTTACAGTGTGAATTCCTAGCAAAAACATTAAATTGTAGATGCTTAGAAGCAATAATAGCGAAATACAGGAAGCAGTTAAATTTTTTTTAAAGGGCAAAGACGAAAATATTCTTAAATATTAAAAAAAGTATCTGTGTATGCACGTGCACAGGTTCACATGCCACCTACACCCCCCATCCTCAAACCTTTTGTCTTGGGTTACTTCCACAGAATTGTGTTATTTGTTTTTTCACTTAATAGCAAATGCTAATGGAATACCTGCCAAGGGTAGTGAGCTAGATTTTAAACATAAAAGACCAGTTCTTGGAATTGCAGATGTTGAAGATTCTGCTTTAATATAAAATAATTTTTGTGTTTTCTTGTGACTTTTTGAATGTTTGCATGTATGTTTTTAGTGATTATGTTGGATGGTGATTGGTGGAATAGAGGTGGTTGTATTCACCTATTCAGTGTCAAAGTAGGGTTGGTGTCATGTTGAGCTACTTCTTTTGTCCCTATATTGTTAGACTGCAGAAGCTGGTAAAAATCTTCAATTTCCTCTTCTTTTGCATTAGTGATTGGTGTATAAATTTGAGTAATAATCACATTAACTGGTCTTCCTTGTACGCATATGGATATTATCCTATCACTCACAGTGTTATACTTCAGGATAGATCGTCAAATGTTGTTTTTGACGATGAATGTGATGCCATTTCTCTTCAATTTATCATTCCCAGCATAGAAGACCGTATGATTATCTGGTTCAAAATGGCCAATAGCAGTCCATTTCAACTCACTAATGCCTAGGATATTGATCTTTATGTGTTCCATTTCATATGTGACAACTTCCAATTTTCCTAGATTCATACTTCATATGTTCCCTGTTCCAGTTATTAATGGATGTTTGGAGCTGTTTCTTCTCATTTTAAGTAGTGCCACATCAGCAAATGAAGATCCTGGAAGCTTTACGCCATCCACATCATCAAGGTTGAGTCTACTTGATAAGTCAGCTCTTCCTCATCGTATTTGGAGTGCCTTCCAACCGGAGGGGCTCATCTTCCACCACTATATCAGACAGTGTTCTACTGTTGTTCGTAAGGTTTTCATTGTCCGATTTTTTTAGAAGTAGACTATGGGTCTTTTCCTCCTACTCTGTCTTAGTCTAGTAGCTCTGCTGAAACCTGTCCACCATGGGTATCTTTGAAATTGATCAAACATGCGATCCAGATGTATTGATAATTACTGGTGATTGGAGTGAGAAAGTTGGAAACAAAGAAGAAGGATCGCTAGTTGGAAAATATGGTCTTGGTGATAGAAATGATGCTGGAGAGTGCGTGATAGAATTTTGCCAGACCAACAACTTATTTGTTGCAGATACCTTTTTTAAACAACATAAATGGCTACTGTACTCATGGACATTGCCAGATGGAAAACACAGGAATCAGATTGACTTATCTGTGGAAAGAGGCGATGGAAAATCTCAATAACATCAGTCAGAACAAAGCTGGGGTCAACTGCAGAACAGACCATTAGTTGCCTATATGCAAGTTCAAGCTGAAGAGAATTAAAATAAGCCTGCGAGAGCCAAAATACAACCTTGAGTATGTCCCACCTGATTTCAGAGACCATCTCAAGAATCGTTGACACGTTAAACTGTAATGAACAAATGGAATGACATCAAGGACATCATACATGAAGAAAGCAAAAAGGTCATTAAAAAAACAAGGAAAAAAGAAAAGAGTAAAATAGGTGTAAGAAAAGACTCTGAAACTTGCTCTTGAACATAGAGTAAGTAGCTAAAGCGAATGACAGAAATGATGCCCTCGAGCTGAACAGAAGATTTCACAGGACAGCTCGAGAAGACAAAGTATTGTAATGACATGTGCAAAGGCCTGGAGTTAGAAAATCAAAAGGGAAGAACCCACTCGGCATTTCTCAAGCTTAAATAACTGAAGAAAAAATTTGAGCCTCAAGTTGCAATATTGAAGGATTCTATGGGCAAAATATTGAATGATGCAGGAAGCATCAAAAGATGGAAAGGAATACACAGGGTCACTGTACCAAAAAGAATTGGTCAGTGTTCAGTTGTGTCAGGAGGTAGAATATGATCAAGAACTGATGGTACTGAAGGAAGAAGTCCAAGCTGCACTGAAGGCATTGGTGAACAAACTTTCAGAAATTGTCAGAATACCAATTGAGATATTTCAGAAAGCCGATGCAGCGTTGGGAGGTGCTCACTTGTCTATGCCAAGAAATTTGGAAGACAGCTACTTGGCCAACCTACTGGAAGAGATCCGTGTTTGCAGATGACACTACCTTGCTTGCTGAAAGTGAAGAGGACTTGAAGCACATACCGATGAAGATCAAAGACTGCAGCCTTCGGTATGGATTATACCTCAACATAACACAAAAATCCTCACACCTGGACCCATAAGCAACATCATGAGAAAAGGTGAAAAGATTGAAGTTGTCAAAGATTTCATTTTACTTGAATCCACAGTCAACGCCCATGGAAACAGCAGTGAAGAAATCAAGCAACGTATTGCATTGGGCATAACTGCTGCAAAAGACCTCGTCAGAGAGTTGAAAAGCTAAGATGTCACTTTGAGGACTAAAGTGCACCCGACCCAAGCCATAGTGTTTTCAGTTGTCTCTTACGCATCCGAAAGCTGGACAGTGAATAAGGAAGACCAAAGAAGAATTGATGCCTTTGAACTATGGTGTTAGTGAAGAATATTGAACATATGGACTGCCAGAAGAACGAACAAGTCTTGGAAGAAGTACAGCCATAGTGCTTCTTGGAAACAAGGATCGTGAGACTTCATCTCACATACTTTGGACATATCAGGAGGGACCAGTCCATTGAGAAGGACATCATGCTTCATGAGGTCAGCGAGAAAGAGAAAGTGAACTAGATGGATTAACGCGGTGGCTACAACAATGGGCTCAAACATAACAGCGATTATGAGGATGGTGCAGGACTGGGCAGTGTCTTGTTCTGTTGTATATAGGGTCGCTATGAGTCAGAATCGACTTGAGGGCACCTAACAAAAACAACATAGTTAGACTAGAAATAGAGACTCAGTTCTAGATTCCTTCCTCTTTTCCTCCCCTCCCCCGACACTCGGAAGCAGAGTCTTAAATGTCTGGATGCTTTTCAATCCTTATCTCAATTTTTTTGATAAGGAGCTTAAATCATATCCCACTCACTTTACTTCTTAAGGGACAATGAATCCTGAGATGCCACAGTGCCCTGGGCAAAGGGGACAGGACTGCTTTCCATGGCTTCTGACAG